ATCGCCCTGGTCCCCATGTCCTGGCCCCCGTGTCCTGGTCCCCATGTCCTGGCCCCCGTGTCGGATGCAGTCCTGGCCCCTGTGTCCTGGTCCCCAAGTCCTGGTCCCCCAGTCCTGGTCCCCTTGTCCTGGTCCCCGAGTCCTGGACCCCGTGTCAGACATCGCCCTGGTCCCCATGTCCTGGCCCCCGGGTCCTGGTCCCCATGTCGAATGCAGTCCTGGCCCCTGTGTCCTGGTCCCCAAGTCCTGGTCCCCGAATCCTGGCCCCCGTGTCCTGGTCCCCATGTCCTGGCCCCTGTGTCGGATGCAGTCCTGGCCCCTGTGTCCTGGTCCCCGTGTCCTGGTCCCCATGTCCTGGCCCCTGTGTCGGATGCAGTCCTGGCCCCTGTGTCCTGGTTCCCGTGTCCTGGTCCCCATGTCCTGGCCCCCGTGTCGGATGCAGTCCTGGCCCCTGTGTCCTGGTCCCCATGTCCTGGTCCCCGAGTCCTGGTCCCCTTGTCCTGGTCCCCGAGTCCTGGACCCCGTGTCAGACATCACCCTGGTCCCCATGTCCTGGCCCCCGTGTCCTGGTCCCCATGTCCTGGCCCCCGTGTCGGATGCAGTCCTGGCCCCTGTGTCCTGGCCCCTGTGTCTTGGTCCCCATGTCCTGGCCCCCGTGTCGAATGCAGTCCTGGCCCCTGTGTCCTGGTCCCCATGTCCTGGCCCCTGTGTCCTGGTCCCCAAGTCCTGGTCCCCGAATCCTGGCCCCCGTGTCCTGGTCCCCGTGTCCTGGTCCCTGTGTCCTGGTCCCCATGTCCTGGCCCCCGTGTCGGATGCAGTCCTGGCCCCTGTGTCCTGGTCCCCGTGTCCTTGTCCCCGTGTCGGACGCCACCCTGCTCCCTGTGTCAGACCCAAAGCTCTGCTCCCAGGGGGTCTGAGATCAGAAGGAAATGCCAGACAGTGTGGCTCCTGGGCAGAGCTGGGCTGGGTGCCTGGTGGACCCACAGAGCACAGAAACGTGGGCTAGGGATGCAGTGCAGAGACCACTGGCCTCAGGACAGGATGTGGAAAGGGTGAGCCATCTGGGGACCTGAGTACCCCCAGATCATCACTCCCTACCCCTGAGGTTCAAACAGAAAACAATGCCGTGCCAAGCTGTTAGGCAGAAGGCTGCCTGGCTCAGGGTTTCCCAGGGGAGTGCCCATCACTGTCACTGCCCTCAGCAGAGCTCCCGCGTAGGGTGGTATCCCACATAGGTGGTACCCCCAATTGTCCTAGAAGCAGAGGGGGCAGAGAAAGTGTCTGCTCAGTGCTGGCAGCCCAGGGAGTGTCCACAAAGGACCTCAGGTGATGCACGAGAGAATGCCCTCACACGACCACAGCTGGCCACAGTGTCCACAAATGGCCATCGGAAATCACTAGTGAGCACAGGTAATTGTGACTGGCCATGGTTGTGAGTGACCTTGAGGGACTGAGTGATCACAAGCAGTGGCCAAGTGGCAACAAGCTAATAGAAGAGGAGGGGAGCGTGTCAGCTGGAGTCGCAAGGAGGCCAGGCGAAGCCCCTCCCTGAGCCCGGCACGAGACCAGCACCTCGGGACAGCAGGAACCCTTCAACAAAACTGGCCACTGGGAAGCTCACAGCAAACACCTACCAAAACTGGGGCTTATATTTATTCAGGCTACTTATTCACCAGTGCGGGCACTGACATGCTAGGATGTGGTTAGAAGGATGGAGATGGGGCCCTTTCCTGCGGCCCCTCCAGGCTGGTAAGGCCTCATCAGAACCTGCAGAGGCTGCTGCCGGCAGGTGCCGTTCCATCGGCGAGGAGCCAGCGCCCCCCTGTGAACAACAGGCTCAAGTCTTGGACAATGCTGCACCATCCTCTCCGTCCCCACACTCAGGTTCATCCTTGCACTGTGTTCAACCACTTTTGAGGGTTTTTCTAACAGCAGAAGGATCTGCAATTCCAAGCTCGTATACCCTTGAAAGCTTAGGATGAGGGCATGTGACATTCGCCCCAGCTGTGCCACCTAGGCTGTTAGTGAAGGAACTGGGAGGGCACCTGGAACAGTGGCCAAGATGGAGAAAGCCAGGAGGCCCAGGCCCCTCCTGGGAGGCAGCACAGGGCACAGGTAAGGTCTGCAGAGTTTGGGTGTATCTGGAGCTTACCACTGTCCTTGTGGAATGCCCTGGAGTAGATTCTGACCTGATTCAGACATCTCTGTCTACTCCCACACAGCACCACTTGAGGGTCAAGGTCAGTGCGGAACCAAGCCCAGCGTGTGATCAGATACAGGGTCACAGTGTGTGACCAGGGTCAGTGTGTGACCAGAGTCAATGTGTGTCTAGGATCAGTGTGTGACCAAGATCAAGGTGTGTAATCAGGGTCAGTGTGTGTGCTCAAGATGAGTTTGTGATCAGGGTCACAGTGAGCATGTGACCAGGGTCGGTGTGTGACTAGGATCAGCGTGTGACCAGGGTCAGGGCCAGCGTGTGACTAGATCAGCGTTGACCAGGGTCAGGGTCAGCATAGGCCAGAGCTTATGGCAGAGACAAATTACCCAATTAGCCAGGCAAGCAAGTGCTCAGGGCACCCACACGCAGGGGCACCAATCGTCCAAAACAAGGAGCCGCGGATGCCAAGCAGACAGGACGCTGGAGAGCGAGCACGGCAGCAGGAGGGAGCCGTCAAGTCCATGAAGACTCAGAGACTCCCACCAGACGACGACCCACACCCGCCCTACCCT